ACTCCAGTCTGGGTGACAGAGTGAGACTCCAACTCAAAAAAAAAAAAAAAAATTCTCAGGGCTCACAGGCAACTGGGTGATGGATATGGGCTGACACCCCAAGCTTCCACGGTTGGGGGGAATCCTCTTCTCCTCCACAAGGCAACCCTTGACTTACCTTTCTCTTGTTGTGATAAGCAATGTAGAGGACAGCGACAAGAATGGCTGCGGTCACCAGATACGCAAAGAAGTGGCTACTCTCTGCCCTAGCACTTCCAGAACCGCCCTTATAAAGGTCATCCTTCTCGCCACTCGCGGAATCCAAAAGCGTCTCTCCACGGGTCTCACTGGAGGCGCGACCAGGCATCTTTCCATCCTCTTCTTTGGGCAGTGAGCCCTCTTCCGGCCCTGTCTCACCTTCCTCAGTCTCCCCGAGCTCCCCATCTCCAGCAGGCTCTGAAGGCTGATCTCCCTCCGGCTGTGAAGTGAGCGCAGAGCCCACGGACCCGTTCCCAGATTCCGTTCTGGAAGCGGGCGGAGAGACCTTTCCTTTGTCAGCTGGCTGGTTCACGTCAGGTTGGGGGTGCTCCTTGTTATCAGAGGAGGAGTTGGAGATGGGCTTGTTGGAATGGTCTTCTGGGGGCTGCTGCGCAGCACCCGGCTTGTCACTGCCATCGTTTTGGGTGTGATGCTCCGAACTCAACTTTCCGGGGCCCTCTTCTTTTTCGTTCTGCTTCCCCGCGCCTGGCTTTCTAGGGTCCTCTTTTTGGGGGGCCTGCTGCTTTGCCTCCGTCTCGCCAGGACCATCGTTTGGGGTCTGCGGCTCTGCATCCAACTCGCTAGAGCCATCGTTTGGGGTCTGCGGCTTTGCATCCAACTTGCCGGGGCCATCGTTTGGGGTCTGCTGCTTTGCATCCAACTTGCCGGGGCCATCGTTTGGGGTCTGCTGCTTTGCATCCAACTTGCCGGGGCCATCGTTTTGGGTCTGCTGCTTTGCATCCAACTTGCCGGGGCCATCGTTTTGGGTCTGCTGCTTTGCATCCGACTCGCCAAGGCTGTCGTTTTGGGGCGGCTGCGCCGCAACCGACTTGCCAGGGCCTCCTTCCGAAGACGAGGTCAGAGGAGATGTGACTTCTGGCTTGGAAGGAGTTTCCTTAGCGGACGGGCTCGAGGAGGGCAGGCTGGCGCCGCTTCCCGTCGCCTTGTTGTCCGGGCTCGCCCCCGGCGCGGCTCCTGAAACGGAAGAGCAAGTCGGGTCTGGAGAAGGGCGGGTCGGGAGACGAGCTCCTCCGGCAGGAGACAGGCGCAACGGGCGAGCCGGGCCGGCGGAGTGGGCCGGAGGGGGACCGCGGGCGAGCGGAGGGGCGGGGCGGAAAGGGAAGGCGCGAGCCCCGCGGCGACCAGCCCCGGTGAGAGTGGAGGAGCAGGGGCAAGAGGGTCGCGGGGGTGCTGGGGGTCTTACCCGCCGCCGCCACGCTCAGCAGGACGAACGCGACAAGGAACCGCATCCTGCACGGAACGAGCTTCCGCCTCTGCCGCTCTCGCGAGAGCTGCGCGCGGGGCGCCAGGTTCACGGCCCCGCCCCTTTCCGCGCGCGCCTCTGCGCCGTGTGCGCCTGCGCGCGATCGGGCCGGGGCCGGGCGTGTCTGGGGCGTGGCCAGGGGCGTGGTCGGGGACGGGGACACGGGAGGCAGCCTCCCGGGTACCCCGCGCTCGCTTTTCGGCGGCGGCGCTACAAGTGTCCCCGCCTCCGCCTGGTTTCTCCTTGGGAGGCCGAGGCGGAAGGGTCGCTGGAGGCCAGGAGTTCGAGACCAACCTGGGCCACATAGCAAGACCCATCGCTGTAAGAATAAAAAATTAACTGGGCGCGGTGGCACGCACCTGTAGTCGCGGCGGCTCAGGAGGCTGAGGCAGGAGGATCGCTTCATTCCAAAAGTTTGAGGTCACGGTGAGCTAGAATCATGCCACTGTGTGCCACCTGGGTGGCAGAACAAAAGCCTGTCTCTGAAAAAAATGGGGACTGTGAGACAGCCAAGTGGAGAGATGCCAGTTCAAAGGTAAATATAGGAACCATTTTCCCAACTAAATCGTGTTCAGGACACTATTGTTCACGGTTTTATAAAAAGTAATTTATTAGTTTATCATAATTGTAACAGTTCTCCGACTATGGCATACCTGGATTATTTTCAGTTTGGTAACTATTATCACGTCCTGGTTAGGTGCGTTTTAAGATAAGACAAATGCTCAGTAAGATGAAGCAACTTGTTTAACAAATGCTATTATTGTACCAAACCTTTGACAGCAGTGAGTATTCTTTTTTTTTTTTTTTTTTCAGTTGGAGTCTCACTCTGTTGCCCAGACTGGAGTGCAGTGGCCGCTCCTGGCCACCGCTGCCTGCTGGGCTCTGGCGATCCTTCCGCCTCAGCCTTCCGAGTAGCCGGAATTACAGGCATGCCCTACCACACCTGGCTGATTTTTTGATTTATTGTAGAGATGAGGTCTCACTGCCCAGGCGGGTCTCGAA